ATCATTATTAATAAGTTGTCTCCACTCACTTAGCCTGCAAAATCGGTCATCTTTTGGCTTTGGTTACCCAATTTATATTAGGTACCTTCATGTTAGTAATAGACATCAATAATCCATAATTAAAACAACTACGGTTAAACCAACTATCTTTACTAACAATAAACACCATGTGTCTACATAATAAATATTCAGAAAAACACATACACATGATAAGGTCATTCTTTGGCAAATATTCAAAATATACGTTCATTACCTTGCCCAAAGAATTAAGTTTCCATACAGGGGTAATCTAGGTTCCAAGAGACCAAATATGCATAATTCTACATAATACGTTCCTTGAACTATTTCCAGTAAACCGATTCTTTAAAAATAAATCAATTTGTAAATTTGACAAATACTTTTCACTCTATAAATCAGATTTGAGGTTACACAAAATTGATTTGCAAACTTTCAAAACAAAATCCAAAATTTAACTAGAAATACTACAAGGAACTTGTACACATATATAATCAAGACTTCAAAGACGAGACACTTACCTCAAAGATGTTCATCTTTGAATCAAATCTGCTTCACAAGCAGACTTTGGTCTTCACGTGGTATTGGGAACGTTCTAGGGTTGAGTTCCATTCGCTGCATTCCTTGTAGGTATCCATCCTAGCCTGGAACTTGCTCCTCGGGGTTGCCCGGTTTATCAAGAGCACCTGCTCTGATACCAATTGTTATTTAGATGAAATACTACAAGAGGGGGGGTGAATTGTAGTATGGAGATTGCTAGTCACTTTTTGCGGAATTAAAAGAAACTTAACGCAATAGAGAAATAGTGCAAGAGAGATTTTACGAGGAAAACTTCCTAGGCCAAATAGGAAGTGAAAAACCTCGACCCAAAGGGATTTTGACTCAAAACATTCCACTAAAATAGGCCAACGACTCTGTTACAACCTATGAGGAACTTGAGCCTCTACCGAGTTCCTCAACGAACTCATATCCCCAACAACTATTCCCTCTAATAGTTGCAGCTTGAAATCTTCCCTCAAAGACCTCTCTTCTCACTCAAGACTTCACTCGAAACCTTACTCTTTCTCTTTCTCTCAAGCTTCACTCAAAGCCTTCTCTACATACAAAGAACTCACTCAAGTTCTCACCCTAATACAAGAGTTCACTCAAACCCTTATTAATTCCCCATTACAAGAGTTCACTCAAACCCTTATTAATTCCCCATTACAAGAGTTCACTCAAACCCTTAAACAACTCTCAAATACATATAAAAGATATAATGTATAAAACTAATATGTTGAACACTCAAGATCTGTCTGGAACTCACTAGACGTATTGTAACCAAAAACCTGATAGGAACTTTGACCAGGAGGACTGACTTAGCTTCGTGGTGAAGGATAAAACCATTAAGAACGACCACTACACTTCGTCAGCCTCCTCTTTGAATGAATGCATATGAGCATATTTATAGTACACTCAAATTATTCATTTCATCTTGAAAAAGATAGATTTTCTGAAAAGATAAGTTTAAAAGATATTTTCTAAAAATCAGTTTTCTGAAAATATATCTTTTTGTTAAGAATAAAAACTGTCAATAATAATAAGATAAACTTAGCATAAAATCAGATTTTATTCAAAACTTATCTTTTTGTTTAAAATACTTTTTAAACAATCTTATCTTTTTCCAAAAGGGATTTATTAGAAGATAAATATCTTTATTCAGTAAAACCAAATCCCTAAAAGATATGCACGTATAAGGTAAATATATATATCATTAAAACCGACTTTTAACGACGTTCATACTTAAGTTCCTATTAGGTTCCTGAACTCTGACAGTCTCTGAGTTCCTGACAAGTCAGTTACTCTAATTTCATTGACTGTTTGGAATTCACCTTGGTTCTATATAGACTTGTTCCAGACCGACTTTTATGTCCAACATACTTACATGAATCCTAGAGCAATATACTTCTATTTCTCTGTCTTCATGTTGCTTCTCTGAAACTCTTGTTCTGGAATCCTGTAGTCTTGATATATTCTGGATCTTAGGGTTTTCCCCAGCATTACACCGAAACCAGGTCGTTACAACCCGTTTTGAAGTTCCTGTTAAGAAACTTCTGGAAGTTCCATTTCTGGAACTCTTCTTCTAAATTTACTTGTATCCTCATGGATCCTCTAAAGTTCCTCTGTTTCAATTCCTACTTCAGCCCTCAACGCTTACTGAACCTGCAAACATCACAACACTAGAAAATCCTTATTAAATGGAAGTTTGCTCAATTCTTAACATCATCATCAAAACCTCATAAGGATCAACAAGTTGTCCCTTTTTGATGATGACGAACTGAGCAAACTTCTGAGAATAACAAAGTAAAACAGAAGGTTAGTTTTTTATTTATAAAAACAATAAAGAAAACTAAACTAAATTAAAAGACTCCTACACATACATAACCTATATATGTATAGGATACTTACCTTATGAAGCTAACATATGTAAACACATGTTTACATAGTTACCTTCATGGTCCCTTAGCCATCATCATGCTTATCAACCATAACACTTATCGTTGTTCTTGTTCCTCTATTGCTTATCCTATATTGCTCAAGTTCCTTACATATATACCTGTCATTACTCAGGTTCCTTGTATCCTGTTCCAAGCATAATTTGCTTTTTCTATGCACAACTTAACATACACGTTAGATAGATAATCATCATTAGTTTATAATCATCAAAACCTAATTGCTCAACAGTTATCCAATCAAATCCTAATATATTGTATGTATATGTACACCTTATCATATGGAATAAGATACACAGATTTATTCTTTCCTCAATTCTTCTCTTATTCCCTTTATTTCACAACAATTTTCTCTTTTAATTTTTTAGATGCATCAATTTTTAAAAAGGGAAGTTTCAATATATATAGATGCATCACTTTCCTTTTTTACTTAATGAACTTAATAATACAATAAGGTTTTGTGTGAGTCCATTTCACGTGAGTTCAGTTTATAATGCATAGTCTCATCCCATAATCACTGTCACTGCCCAGCTCCTGTCGGCGACTGGCGACCTTCTCCCCCCCAACCCCCGGTGCCGGCGACCCTCCCCACCCATGGGCACCGCCACCGCTTCCGACAATTCAGGGCATCACGAATTCCAGAAGTCTGAGCTTCAATAGTAGTGTCACTTCTACTACTAGAGTTAACAAGAATAATATGGCTGATGAAGAAATTGTAGGGAATTAGTACTACGCAGCGGAAAAACATGAATCATATTCATACAGTACTTAAACCCAAGATCTAATGCATAACACATAAAGAACATATAATCGTACCTTTGAAGCGTGATTTCATGTGCGATCGAGCAAGAACATTGGGAGATAAAGAACCTCAAGCGTGATTCCTCTACTTGGTCCAGGGGCACAGATTAAGACCTCCACTAATGCTAGTTAATTGCAATTGAACCCTTCAATTGACCTTCTATGGAGAAGTGCGAGCAACGAACCACCATGAACCACCACGAACAACCACACGCGCCACCAAGGTGGCCGGCCGTACGGACGAGGGGAGGAGAGAGAAAGCCGTGAGTTAGAGAGAGGAATTAGGGTCTTTGGGATTGGTTGCCTTGATGTCAAAATACATTGTGTGTGAATTATGACTGCTTACATGCAAACCTAGGCATAAATCTTATTTATAGATCTTATCTCTAAATAAGAGCCCATGTCAAGAGCCCAAAACTTAATTCCAATCTAACTATGTTAGCCCAATCCATTTCATGATTAGTTAATTGCTCATGAGGTCCATTTATGGCCCTCTAATTTGCTTAACCCAATACCCTTGTGTGTGACCTCATAGGATCCATTCTAGCGGGCTTTGGACTATTTGACTAGTCCAAAGGTCATCTCTCATAGTCTAGCAACAGATGATGACACCCCAAGAGAACGAACTTATTATCTCCATAATAGTGATCCTTGTTATATCTAGTAATTACACTTATCGAAGACACAATTCCTTCAGAAATCACTTGCTCTGCTTTGTCCAATTTTAGGGCTAAACAAGAAGAGATCGAGAAGAAGAAGATGGAAGTTCGTGATCGTGTTCAGGCTTAACTTGGGTGTGTTGAAGAAGAGACTAAACACTTGGCTTTGATTCGTGAGGTCAGGTTTTAATTTCTATGTTTTTCTCAGTTTTTAGGTTGAATTCTTCTCATCTGATATATATAACCTAATTTCTAGTAGTTATAATATAATGTCCGATAATTTATACTTTAATATTCTGACCATTATAATCTAATTTCTGACAATTAAGGCCTAATATCTGAAGATTAGAATCTAATACAAAGTAATAAATTTAGAGTAATTAAATTAAATTAAATTAATGTTAGTAATTTCAAATGTGATAAGTCCATAAAAAAGTAGCATAAATTGGGTATTTTGTAGAGTAATCATACACGGCATGGTTAAAGTATAAACCTAAGGTGATGTGATTAATTATTATCTTACGTTAATCGTTTAAGAAACAAGTGATGAAGTCTGTCAATATAATTAAGTCAAAAAGCCAAAGCTTAAAGCTGGATAAAGTAGATAAAGTAGAAATTACTTTGATGAAGTTTTTGCAATCGGCTAAAATCTGCCACTTTTACACCGATTACTATGACAATTAACTATTTTTTTAAGACTTTGTAATCATCTAATTAGTGACTCAACTTTGTGTCGGGGCTACCTACTTTCAACTAAGGATTAGTCACTGGTAAAATAACTGTATGGGGGTCTTTCAACCATAGAATTATACGTAGTATTTTTTTTAAAAAACATTTCTAACATGGTCAATTGTCACAAACTCACAACAATCTAAATCCAAATAATTAGCTCAAGTCCAAGCCCAAGCCTAAGCCCAAGCCTAAGCCTAAGACCAAGCCCAAGCCCAAGCCCAAATCCACACCCACCAACCCAAGTTCGACCATTCCCAGGTTTAGGTTGACTTTTAGACTCTCAGATATTGACAAAACTCACACTCCAAAAGAATATACTGTAATTGTACAATCGATTAAACTAGAAATTGAAAAATGGGAGGAGAAAACTCAAATTCTGAGCAAATAGTGGTTGAAGAATGGGCAGGTTCTTCCCCAACTAAACTCTCAATTACTGCCACTATTTCTTCCACCCCAACTATCTCAATCCAAAGGTATATTCTCTTTCTTTATCCTCAAATTCTCAATTTTTTCTGAAAATCCCACTCTTTATTCTCTTGTTTTTATAGATTTGACAGCCGCTTTAAGTTAGTGAGAAGACAAATTCTCAGTGCCTTTGTACCTGAGGTAATTTTCTCTCTTTCTTTATCCCCTGATTTTGATTTTATACGTGTCCGGATTAATTGTCACGTTATAAATGTTCGGTAAAAGTTGTCACCTTTTCTATTGATGGGTTAGCAATGAATAACTAACATATGCCTATATAAGTAATGTTTTGTAAATATTACGATAGATTGGGACAATGTGACAATTTTGTACGATATAATAAGTTTATTTTGAAGGACAATTTTGATGGGTGTTTGTTTTTCGTTTCTTTACAGGGGTTTCCTAGTAGTGTGACTCCAGATTATGTACCTTTTCAAATATGGGATTCATTACAGGTAAGAGTTATCTTATTACTAATTGATTGATCAAGAGCTGTCCTCTATTTGATTGACCTTTACTTTATGTTGAGAGTTTTTAAGATTTGATCAAGTATTATGCACCTGAATTTCGGTATGATTGTTGACATGGGTACGTTTCCAAGTGTTAAACATTTTTCTGTAATTAGGAAATTTGGTCTTGATTGAAGTGTCCAAGAACTCATACCCAGTAGAGGATGACTGATTATCTCATATGGGCAATGTAAGAGTTTATGTTAGATTAGAATGATCAGTTTACAAGTGAATTTTCCGTTTTGGCAGGTGCCCAATTTGACATAATTCCTTGTTTTTCATTTCAATGCCATTGCAACACAGGAGGAATCGGATTTGAGGACAATTATCACATTTATTTTTGTTTATGAGCTATGAGTCTAACTTGGATTTACTGTGTAATTCTGCTGATGGCTCATTATTTATGAGGATTTTTAACATAATACACTATTTTGTGTATTAATCTTTGTTTGGCTTTACTTGCTACATAGTATGCCTGAACTTTTGTCGATGTAATGGGCGATGAATGAAATAGTTAATACTTGCAGCAAACTTTTTTTCTTCTTTAATATGCAGTACTCTTAGTATTTGTGTAACACAAATCATATTTACATTCTTATGTTGTTTTGGTTCATAGGGCCTGTCGACTTATATACGGATGATGCTTTCAACTCAAGTAAGATATGTGAAAATGATTGTTCAATGATTGATTTTTTCTTCTACCGTCTTTGATCTAGGTATCTGTTTCATGGTGTTTGATTGTTTAAACACATTGGCAGGCTCTTTTGAGTGCTATTGGAGTTGGTGAGAAATCTGCCACAGTTATCGGGGCTACTTTTCAGGTTAGATCTTCTCATTGAATACGATTAAGCTCGGTCCTTGTTAAACACGTTAGGTAAGATTAGTTACCGAGCATACTAACCTTTCTTCCTTTTGTAAGTGTTGCAGTGGTTCTTGAGGGATTTAACAGGAATGCTTGGGGGCATCTTGTTCACATTTTATCAGGTAATTTTAGGCTAGTTTTCCATTACAATTTTGTTCTTTTTAGAAACACGAGCATACCAATATTTTATTACCAATCTGTCAATTATTATTGCTTTCAAAATCGACGGTTCTCAAGGGGGAAACAATCTAGTATGATGTGAAATAAGAGATTTACCATGTACGGAGTATTAGTTAATGGCTTTGAAGTATTGCATGTAAGAGAAGACCAGATTCAATAGATAATAACCTTGTGGAAATAATGAAACTGTTTTGCAGAACAAGAGAACATACCAAAAAAGAGATCAAGAATTAATTATTGACTGGTCTTTCTGCCTTAAATGTGCTGAGATATTCTCTGCAAAACTCCTTTCATGCTTAACATTTACAATATCATTTTATGGAACAAATTATGCAGCTCTCAAACTACATTCATAACCTGCTAGGAACTGACTGGCCTTCAGCACTAACAATGGCAGAAATTAAGAAGAAAATTGATGATTATATTGATAAGATGAGGATTACAGTAAATCAATTGATAATTCCACTTTCGAGAGGTGGATTCTCTCCTCTCCTAATATGAGCTTTCAAGCGGCTCACTCTCTTCCAATAACAAACCACTCAATATTCAACATATCCTCTTTCCTTCTAATGAGACCTATTTATAGAAAATCCCTCCTAACAAACCTCTAGCTTGTTCCCCAAGTTACTACTAACAGACTATGAGTAACATGCCCTTCCCCCAAACATTAATTCCTGGCATAACCATCCTTTGACTAATTTGAAAACTAAGAAAATAGTTGGGAATAGAAGTAGCTGTTGATTAGTCAATAATAGTTGTATCATTTGTCTCTTGCTAGGGATCAAATTTAGATAGCAATGCAAAAATGTGGCGTTTGGTTGCAGATTTATTGAATGACCTTGGTATTTTTCTAACTCTCTTTTTAATTTTGGTGTTATTTAAGCTTATTTAACTCTCTTTCATGCCCTAATTAGAATCCACTGATGGTATGTGCATTAAAATGAAGTAACTTCAATGTGTAATCGAGAGTTTTTTATAAAAAAAATATCAAATGCGTGCAGTGATTCCAAATTTCAGGTCATCGAGTATTTGCAAATGTCAAGATACTTATAAAGTTATAAATAGGTTCCCGTGCATTAGAAAGTGAAACTAGCTACATCAGAGAAGTCATTTCAGTCCTCCGGTGCCATATTTAATTTTTTTTTAAGTTATAATTGCTTACAAATGTGCTTATTTTCAAAACTTCTGTCTATGATTCATTTTATTTTATTTATTTGTTTTTGTAATATTGCTTTTAGCAATATTTTTTCTGTTTTCACCCTTTTGCTCCTAGCTTCTTCATTATTGCTAGCATTGCTCTAACGTTAGACCAAAAGGTTCAGTGTATATGAAAGAGCGGTCTCCTAATTTGCGGTTGTGAAAAAATTGAAATGATTCAGTACCTAAAATTGTATTATAATCTTTGATTGGTCGCTTTTGCAAATTTTTGTTAAGCTTATGTCTTCACAAATCATGTCACTTGTATACTCTCTTAGTCCCTCTTTCCCAATATTGTCTGAACACTAGTCAATCCACCGTTATAAGCCAAAATTATTAGAAATTACCTTAATTATTGTTTTTCATGAAAACATGGATGTGATTGGACTATTGGAGATATATAGTAGGGTATTTGTAGTGTATTTTGTTATAATGAAAAAGTAGATGTAACAGGAGATAGTGAATCCCATAAAAAAGATAGCATATAATAGATGATTTATATGGTCAAACCAAAAAAAAAAGTGTATCCAAAATGTTTACATTTCCAAAAACTTGATATCTGAAAATCAAATCAATTTTGTTCTTGCCAGAGTTTATCTTAGGAACCTTTTGTTTTTCTAATTACGCTAAGTTGCTATCCATAAGACATTTATGGATTTGTGCAAGTGTTTATATATTGCAACTGCATATGAGCTTTATGATGTAATTTCATCTCTTTAAAATATGGGCTGGAAGCTTACCGTTATCTAGTGCACAACAATTTTGTCACTGGAAATACAGAGTATAATACTTTGTATAAATCATGTGGCTGTACATATTATTTTGAAGTAAGGTTTCGTTACACTTAATCTGAAGCACGTGGAGCTCAATTTTGATGTGTTTGTGCTTGTTCAAAACGGTTTAGTAAAGCTTTCCTTTTGCATTTAATCTTCACTTAAAGTGCAGGCCTTATCTTTTGTTATCACAAATTTATCTTCAATACTGAAAACTGATCTAATTCATCAAAATGAAAGGGATTTGATGTCAAATTGAGGGGCTCTATAATCAACAGATCTGACATGTTACTGTTTGTACTTCTAGTCATAGATGGTTTGTCTCATCAGTTATGCCTTTGTTGTTTCAGGAATGCTAATGGATCTTATTTCTCCCTTATTTCCATCGGCATTTGTGTTCATTCTTTGCTTGGGAAGTCTGTCACGATCATTCAGTAAGTTCTAATCTTTCTTACTTTTTGCTCCATCTTCTCATGTAAACTATTGGACCAAGAAAAATAATGTGTGTGTGAGAGAGAAAGAGAGAGAGAGAGAGAGAGAGAGAGAGAGAGAGTTGGCCCGCTGATCTGATTGACTAATTGTATAAAATTGATCTCTCATTTCTTATGCCTCTACCATAATGTCCACCCTTGGCCCGCTGATGTATTGCTTATCAAATACTTTCCCGTTCTATTTTACTAGCAATAGTTTTACTTTCACGTTTGCAGATACATGATTTCACCATCAACACCTTTAATTATGATTACAAATTATATAAAGCTGCTAATATGCTATTTTGAAAATATACGTTTTGACGAATCTAACAACATCCCAACTTGACTATATTTTGCCTTACATATCAATCACCTAAGACGATCAAACAGAAGTATGTGAATAGTGGCAAATGTCGAATTGTTGCTGGTAAAGTGGAATGGAGGAAGTGCTTTTATTTCGTGGATCCATTCTCAATGTAGTCTTTTTGTAACTTTGGAAAAGTTTTTTATAAGCACGTTAAACTGCATTGTTCTGATCCTTTTATTATGAAAAAAAAATAAAAAAAATCTTTGTACTTTTCATTTCTAATTAACATATATCTCTCCAAATTTGCACAACAAGCTGGTGTTGCTAGTGGAGCTACTAGAGCTGCTTTGACTCAACATTTTGCTCTCCAGAATAATGCAGCGGATATATCCGCAAAGGTACTGACACAACATTTCCATCCTAAAATCCTAATTTTTCATTGTGTTACAATTGTCAACTGAGTATCTGATGTTTTATATTAGGAAGGAAGTCAAGAGACAGTGGCAACAATGGCTGGAATGGTTTTGGGAATGTGTCTGGCTCATGTTACTAGGGGATACTCTCTGGCAATTTGGTTCTCATTCTTGTCTTTAACTATGTTTCATATGTACGGTGAGTTCCTACATCCTAATTGCTACGTTGCTTGGATCTGAACCCCATATTTACTTGTTTTTACCCATTATCTTTATCTTCTGATGCTGAGTGTCTCGGTCAGATAAACCTACAAGGGTTAGAAGCTGGCATAGGAATGTTTAGTTTGAATTTTTGAAATAGGGATTGTGTTCAAATAATGATGCAGTTTGTGCACCAATCTGAGTTATCAGACCTTTAGCTTTGCTGAATTATTCTTTTGCTCTATTATGTATTGCCTGCATATAAGCTACTAATCAACTATACCTTTTGGCACCTCTTGTCCCTTAAATTTTGTTTCCAATTTGACCCTTTCACCCATAATGAGGCATTGAGGCTTAATATACCTATACAGCAGTGAAAATATCCTTTCTTGTTGAACCGAAAGTACTTCGATTTGACTGCTGATATTCTAATCTGATCTATGAAAATACACTCCTGAATACCTTTAATTATTTTTACAATGTAGCAAACTATAAGGCTGTCCGTTGTCTGTCATTGAAAGCATTAAATGGAGAAAGGACTTCTCTTCTTCTGCAGCATTTCATGAAGACTGGCCAAGGTAAATCTGCATGTCTTACTGTCTATTGCCTCAATGGCCTTTGGTCATATGTAGAGTAAAAACTTGTAGCACCTTATCTTCTCATTAACTTTAAGTTACTTGGCAGCGGCTAAAGTATTGCCATGGGTTTAGTATGGGTCTTTATGCTGATGTACATGTACAATTTCCTTATTTAGTGTGTACTTCTTGTCAGTGCTTTCTGCTGAAAAGGTTTCGACGGAAGAGCAAGTTTTACCCTTGTGGTTGAATCCATGGAGTTCGAAAAAGTTCAAATGTTTGCACAGTCACATTAACTTAGGTGTGAAGGTTTCTTCTCTCAATCATGCAGAAATGTAAGAATATTTTCATTCAGTTTAAAAGTTCAAATGTTCAGTCACAGAGATTAAGCATGATGGTCTCTTCTCTTAATCATGCAGGAATGTAATCATATATTCATTCAAATTAAAAACTCAGCTATGAACATTGAAATATTATTCATTTTTTTTAATACACAAAAAAAAAAGAAAAAAAAAAAGAGTATGCCTTGATTTCTACTTTGACTATCTCTAAGTCATTAAGCTGCTAGTACACAGCTAAAGTTCCTATCATTCTTTTCCTACCATAGACAGCCAGTCGGCCCAGTCTACTAAAACATTGGCATTACTTGGTGATGGAGTATCTATTTTTTTGTTTAGTCAGAGCAAGTTTGTATTGAGCGGTACCTAAGGTGGGTTCATTTTCAACTAGTACCCATTCTCGTGGAAACTACCATGAAGAAAAGGTTCTCTGATTATATCTTGTGTATGAAATGCTGCACATCAAGATTACAGAGTAAACCATCACACTGAGATGAGTACTGCTCCATTTAAAAGATTGCCACTTAAAAGTAAAATGGGGGGAAATATGATATAGCATCATACGCTATTTCACCATCTTGTTGGATTTTCTTGGTCAAGTTCCTTGCTACAATAATGTTATTCATGATCTTAAAATCATCTGAGTGTTTAGCTCATTATAGTTTCAATTCAATTCTATGGTCCATCTTCAATTGCTGATCTTTATATATACGAAGTATCTTGCAATCCCGCTGCATGCATTTATTGATTATAGGATTTTTTTTACAAAAATATCATTTGACCGCAGGATGGACCTTTTTCGCTCTGCAGGATCAAATTATAAGAAAGGTTAGCTGTGTATGGAGTATTTCAATATAATTTCTGATATGAACAATTCTGTTTCTGTTGCAGACACCTGTAGGGCTGTAACTAACACCACATTTCCATCCCTCTTTTCTTTTTTAACCTTTCTAGCCAAGTGTTTACTGCTGGAGAACAATGGGATAATCAGTATTGTTTTGCATAAAGACTCAACACCGGTGGATATCTTGCAGTCCTACATACATGCACTTGTAATGGTCAATCTTTCGGATAAAAGCACATCTGGGCATGTTGAAAGTTTTTCATGGATGGACAAATACTATGAAGATTTCATCAAGAAGGTATTATTTTATACAATTTATTGTCTGTAACCTGGATTCCTTGAATCACGTTTAGGGAATCAAATAATAGAGGCAGATAATTTCTTTACATTTTTCAGTCTATTCAAATGGTGCCTAACATCCTCTTCTAACCCTGTCACGCCAAAATATTAGTGATTAGTATTTCTTTTTGCAATCTCCGTTTTGTGCTTGTTTACCTGACTAATGTAGCCTGCTGATAATATATGGCAGCTTCAGTCATCAGGATGGAAGACAGAAAGATTATTATCGCATTCTGTTGTTTGGAGGGCAAATTGGTTTATTGCACAGTCAGATGAGAAGATCGACTAGCAACCTGTATACCTCTAGGCGGTTTTTCAGAGATCACCATCACAAAGCAATAGGCAGTGTCACGTCTGTCAACCTTTCTCTATGACTCTACACTCTTGATGCTTTGGCGAAGCAAGGACTTGGTTCAAGCTTTAGCGTAGTATTTTCAACGAAGCTATAAAGGTCTCAAATGAACTTTAATTCAGTTGAATCCTACACATTATGCCTGAATAGGCGACTAATGTGAGCTTTTTTGAGTAATCTCTACTCTTTTAAAAGTGTGAGAGTGCTCTTATGAATAGTGTATGGATAATTATACCCCTAAAAAATGTTTGTTTACATGTTTGCCCCATTTATAAGTTTAAAAAGCTATATTTTTTCTTACATAAAAATGCTTTACATATTTGCCCCCATTTATAAGTTTAAGAAGCTCCATTTTTTTTTTCTTATTAAAGGGATAAAAATATTTCAAACAATTACATTTTTAGAACTTGATAATATTTGTCACTATCTCACTCAATCTAAATTAATTCTTGTTATGAAATATTGTGTGGATGCCCATTATACTCCTTGTATTATTCCAGAATATTCTAGATGGAACTAGGGTTTATATTTTTATTTAAGAAAACCCTAATTATATTGTATATATATATACCCCATTATATGGAATAGAAATACAGTGATATATTCTCTATCAATCTCTCTTATATTTCTCCCTATTTTATAACACGTTATCAGCACCAAAGCTCTACGCAAATTGTTTAATTTAGATCCGAATTAAAGAACTCCATTGCGAAAGCTGACCTGTTGTCATCACCACTTTTGGCGGCACCATTCTTGTTTTGCTCGTTACCAGCATCTCAAGCATTCTCACTTTTCAACAACGTGAAATTGAGCCTGGTACTATTAATCCTACTGATCAGGTTTTGTTTACTCGCAGTCTTCTCGATACTTCTCTCATTGGTATGATCTCTTCAATTTTTTTTCGTATTTTATTTTTTCGTGAAATGATGAATATGGTTATTTGTTCTGTATTTTGGTATCTAATTGAGTTGTTCGATTTTTATTTTTGGTAATTGAATGATGAGAGATCTCATTGAAGGAGCTATATGATGTTGTTAATTTTTAGGATTATTCGATTGATTCATTCACCTAAATAAATATATTGAATTTGTTCTATTAGTTTAATAGTTTAATTAATTTGTGTTCATTGGTAACTAGATTTAGATGGGGAGATTTGGGCTTTCTATTTGATGCGTTATATGTTCTTGCTTTGGTATTTAGGTTCCGTTTATAAGTTTTGTGTCCATATTCCATTATTGAACTCGCATTATCTCTTTGTTTTGTGTTGTAACGTTACATATCCTAAGTTCAGGTGTATGTGGTTACATAATTGTTGGTTCACATAATGTCTCATGATATTTTACTACCTTAAATTTTAAGAATTTTGGTGGTTTTTGATGTGTGAATAGTAATAAAGTTACGCATACATTATATACTATTTATATTAATTCATTATCAAATTGCTTTATGTAAAGAGTATGAGTATTTGGGTTCATTAGCTACCAATGATTCAAATTAGGATGTACCACTATGAGGTCTATGACTACACTATATTATGACGCAAATTAATAATGTCCAAGTAATTAAGTGGATTAGTGGGTCTTATATTTTGTTGGAGATTGATATTGTTCAAGCAAGTGGGGTATTGATCAAACTGGTTTATTCAATGTTTTATGAATTTCATTTGTTGAATATGTTTTAATTTTGATACGGTTGTCAAGCAGTAATTACTCTCTACATGCTTATAATATTAATTGAATATAGGCCTTCACTTTTGTTTTGGTAATTTGCCATGGAATCAGTAGATATGTAATCAGTTTCAACAAAAGGCTAGGAATTAGAATTCTTATCTTTGGAGCTATACAAGATTGATATACTGCTTAACAGTTAACAATATTAATAAGATAATCGTTAAGCAACAATCTATGGCTTGAATAGTAATAACCTTATCAGTATTATCATTTATTTGAATTATATATATGTATACACTTTTGTTTCACTAAATAACAATTGTATTTGTAATGGATTATAAGATAAATCAAGTAACAATATCTTGAGGAGTCTAGACATTAATTAATTATATCATATTAATTTTTTTGGTAGTATATACTCAAGAAATAAAAGGTATTATCAAATATATCTTTATAAGAGTCATAATTACATATGACTTGCACATATGGAACTGGTTTTTTTGAAGTGATCAATTTGCAAATTATATCTTCTGCACTAGTAAAGGTACGTCCAAATGTCCAACAATATAATTACGGATTCAATAGTAATGCCAAATTATTATAATTATAGATTTGAGATTTATCATGTGAATTTCTTTCAAACAAAGCATTAAGTTGATTGTTTATTGTATCTGACAATTGTTTGACCTTGAATCCCACTTGGTCACTTGGCTTTAGTGAGTATAGTATGTAGTAGGCACTCCATTACAATCATGAAAGCAATTCTATATTTGTTTGATCAATTACCTTTCTTATACATCATACTTGGTTTTATGATTAAGGTTGTTTATATTTTATTGATTAGCCAAGGGCAATTTTGTTTCAAGTACATAACATATATATTGCTTTAAAGTGCTAAACCGCTAGGATACAACTGTCAATTCATTATATCTTATTGTATTACTGCATTATTTTGTATTGTATATAGCAAAAAGTGTGTTATGAGTTCAAGTAATTAAACATGACATTGTGAGAAAATATACATAATCAACGTTTTATTATGCCCATAAATATAAGAGGCCAGGTTTTTTTTTTTTTTTTTTTTTTTTTTTTTTTTTTTTTTTATGTAATTGGGCATGAGGTACATGATAAGTGTTCTATAAGTATAATTTTATATAAGCATGTTTTTGCTAAAAGAAACACGTTACTTGATACATGACATTGCCAAAAAAATTTATGGCTTAAAAGTTGCAACGATTTAAAGGTTATTGGATTGATTCATTCCATACCCCCATATGCAAGGATTAGGGGGAGATTGTATGTAATCCTTGCATATAAATAATAAAATATATATGGTCAGTTTAATACATACAATAACTTAAATATCAACTAGAAGTGACCACATGTTAATTAAATATTTTGAAATGATACAATCCTGAAGATGGATATAAACAAATGACATTTATCATATACTAGTTGTAAATGCTCTAATTTAAAATTGATGTCCTAAGAGTACAACATCAATTGTTGATGAACCTATAACATGCCTGAAGCGTGATAAATCAATAGGTTCTAAAGATAATTAAGTATCTTTGAAAAGGAAAGGAGTCACTATTGACAATGACAAATTTGAGGAAGTGGTAAATATCATTACATTTCTAGAAGAAATCACTTTTAGTACAGTTCTTATGTTTCATGATTATATATAAAAAAAAACTCCAGAAGAGTATGAAATAACAAGTTTAAACTCCAGTAGAGTATGAGTAATTATTGGATAAAATATTAATTGATTGTCTTGCCAATTGTATAAAGAAACACATGTTGGTGCTCTAATATCACATTCATGGCCATGCATATAGTAAGTTTGATAAAGTGATCACTAGTGTTGAAAACTGACCAGAGTTCAAATTTAGAGAAGTGATTGGATGTGATAATTAAATTAGGTCATCGGACTTAATAATAATTACCCGTAATGGAAACCTGAAGTTTCATTTGATAATGTGCTGATGCTTTCTCAATGTTAAATATATAAAATGAATTGAATGGCAAGAGTAACATTGAGATTGAGGTATATTTGGATTGTGAGTTATAATAATTTGTATTGATGAAAATTTCAAGATTTAATATGTTTTGATTTTTTTTTTTTTTATATAAAGGAGTAATGGCTGATAAAGGAGTAATGGCTGACCAGAAGTTCACCAAAATAACTTATATATTATTTTCAACTATCAAGTGATTAGAAGCTCACCAAATACACTATTTAAGTCTTTAAAGATCCAGAAGATCATCACCTACTAGAATTACGAGCAAGTGATTTATGCTTGTATAACAATTCTTTTGATTGGGGCTATTATATGTCATCACATATGAAATAGGAGAAGAAAGAAAAACGTACAACTGCACAACATATGTCTCCCCATTGACATTGATCTCCAGAAGAGAAAATATTATTATTGAAAATTTAATAATAAAAACACATGAAATATAAAGTTAATGAATAAATGATTCTTCATCGAAATTGTTCTCCAGAAGAGATAAATTTTGATTGTGATCCTCCCAATGAAATGAATTTTAATGAAAACTTATATACTAAGTTGGTATAGAATTAGACGCCCCTATAAAAGAGATATTTTACCAACTTAGGGGGAGTAAAAATAGCAAAAGTTGGGAAAATCGAAAATAAATAAATAATATTTATGATCCCTATAATGGTAGTTTGAAAAGTTATATATATTCCAACTTTTGTATCTATATTATCAAGATATGTTGCACATTTATGATTTGATTTGTATTTAGTTATGACTCATGTTGCATAGCGTTGAAGATACATTTTGGTCATATTAATTATGTGTATACATTGAGATAAAATCTTGTCAATTGTACTTGAATCACTACACCTGAAGTGTAGGTTGTATATGATCGGTTCCAAAATAAAGATATGTTTAATAGATATGATATTTGGCAAGATAGTGCAGTTGACACTAATAGTGTAATAGTATATAAATTCCATAGTGTATGAAATATCCTAAAGTGGTATAGATATCTGAATTATTATAATAGATGGCCTATGATGTTAGAAAAGTTATGATGGTACCAATGAGAAATGTATTAAGATATCATAGTAAAATAGCATGCGGAATGTAAGTTAAAGGAATTTTATGATACCGGTACATAATGGAACCGATGAATAATATGCATATGCATAATGGAATGGACTAATAAGTAAGGGATCAGAAATATATGTACATTTTGATGTCGACATAATGATAATGATATAAGTTTATCATGGACCCGAAGTCCAATGAAATATGGATTTTTAAATCCACGTTGTACAGTGTCTTGCATCATTTTGAGTGTTATATTCATGTGTACGTGAGTCATAGGTTAATGGTTTATTGCATATGTAGGAAGTTAGATGTATTACTCATTATATAAGTTGTTTAATATGTTATCATGTTTTATATATATCATATTGCATAGATTAATTTCTTACAATGGCTGTGGTGTATGTGAATGTTCTTTCAAAATATAGTAAGACATATTTACAACTTTGATGAAAAATTAGAAAGAGATGTCTATATTCCAATGGGCTTATAATTGTAATGAAATTATTGATGACACTTATTTAATAACATGTTATGAATCATGTAA